ACCACTTTTACTCAAGTCTGTCATTCAGCACCTAAGTGGACATATTTGTAAAATATAGGAGCACTCTGAGGGCTTTTGTAGCCTAAAGAAATACAATCTGTATCAGAAGACCTTGTGAGTAATAACAGTTGTTGACCAGAGAAAAAAAAGATGTTAGAATAGTAAGGATTCAGAAATTCATCTAGCTACTCATTTGTTTGCTACCTTCCAGGTGAAGCTTGGATCCAGACATCTTGTGGGAAGGGAGGTGGTGCTGATCTGTCCTTATGGAATTGGAAAGTTTTAATAGTAGGCATTAGTCAGCGGAAGATTGGGGTTGTGGGCAGTACGGGTCCCTGATGCTGACCCATGTCTGATTAGAAGTATACAGCACCACATACCTTTTGCCACTGAGCTACAGCCCGAGCTGTGGAAACGATACACACCTTAATCTGTGTTCTGTCTATAACTAAGTGAGAGAATTTGGGGGTAGGGGTGGACCTTGCCGTTAGAGTTCACAAATGCTTTGTCTGACGTACCATCTCTGGAAGTATTTGTCATTCTTAATGTTGGCTCTAGGATTGGAAAGTGGTCTTGGCAGGATTAGATTGATAAATCTAGTCCAGCAGCTACTGTTTCATACAGAAGGGTCTCTTTCAGGAGTAGGGTAGGAAATTTTCTTCTTGTGTCTTTTCTATAACTCATTGAAATGGCAGAGCACCAGGAATGCCCCAAGCATTGGGTGACAGAGTAGGTAAGGCCAGGAAACAGCTGTAGTAGCCCTAGGGCTCTTTTAAGCCTGGCTCTGGACCAGGGTTATTTTATTTGCTTACTTCCTTAATTTTTCCACATCATATGCCACTGACATCAACGTGCCAGTTTCTTTCTTTGCATACATATTTTGTGTATTTAAAATTTTTATTTTTTAAGCGAAAATACTCCATTTTTAAATTTTTATGCTTTTAAATCTGAGATTCTCATTCCTACTTTGTATTCTCAGGAATACATCAGTCAGCAGTAGTTACAACATTGCACAGCAGTTAAATTTCTTAGTTGCTTTAGAAGCATTAAGAAATGTTTTCTCTAGTAAGTAAACCAGTTAAACCTATTGTATTTTACGAGTAGCTGCCACATTTTCCTAGTTACAACTGGCTTCTTTGTCATCATGTCCTCTTTAAATCCCTCTTCCACGTTGAAATGTGAAGAATGAGTTTTAACTGGGTCATCTTCTAGTGTTACTGGTCTTTCTTTAAAAGAGCAGGAATGAGATATTAAAAGGACCCCGGATAAATTAGAAAGGTCAGAGTAGAATTCAAAGTCAGTATAAGTGGAATCAACAGTATGTAGTGTTCCCTTTTGTTGCCAGAGAATTGGGCCTCACTTCTCTCTACAAGTCAACCAGAAATTATGGTAGGTCAATAAAAGCGAAAAGTATGGGGCTGGGACTGTAGCTCAGTGGCAAAGAGCTTGCCTAGCATACATGAGGCACTGGGTTCAATCCTCAGCACCACAGAAAACTAAAAAATAAAATAAAGGCATTCTGAGCATCTATAACTACAAAAAAGAAAAAAATTTTTTTTTTAAAGAAACTAAGCGGGGGGTGGGGGGAGAGAGAAACAGACAGACAGAGACACACAGAAAATAATATAATCTTAGGTTTTTTAAGAATGACTTTTGCAGGGTGCTGTGGCACATTCTGGTAATCTCAGCAATTCTGGAGTTGACAGCCAGGAGGAAAACAAGTTCAAGACTAGCTTCAGCAATGTGTTGAGACATTGTCTAAAAACAAACTAAAAAGAGCCTGGGGATGTAGTTTAGTGGTAAAATGCCCTTGAATTCAATTCCCAGTACCCCCCCCCCCCCCCCCCCCCAAAAAAAAAAAAAAGTCCTCCTCTCCTCACATGCTGTATATGTGTACATTGAGGAAAAACAGCAGTCTTTAATCCTGCAAAAAATTGAACTTTCCTGACTTAAGATCGTAAGACAAGTAAAATTTCTATCCCATCACAAACCCTTCCCAACCACTCACAGAATGGATCACATGCTCCTTTAAATTGGGACCACCACTTAAACAACACTTAATAGTTCTCCTGCCTTGCCTCCTTGGAAGAAAGAAAATTGTTGTTTTCCCATTGATTTAGCTTTATGAGATTCATCTCATAACCATTCTATGGATTTAAAGCTGTTGTTGGTAAAAGTGCCATCTCATTTTTCTCTATTAGTAATTATGATTGGCTTATGTGTAAAACTTTAAATACTGTTTTATTTTGAAACTTGTCTCCTTTGGTGTTAGGATGTCTTGGCCACCCCTTCTAGCTAAGATAGTTCTCAGCAGGATATAGACTGGCAGTGTGCTGATGTTGCAGTTTCTTTCTATATCCAGTCCCCTCTTTTTGGTGAGATTTCTGTGGGATCTATTTAGGTATACATCCTGCAGTTTATTGGCTTAAAAATATACTCTAATTTGATGTCATCTCTTTGAGACCAGTTGGAAAAATGAGAAATTGATAGTGCAACTCTTATGAATTGAATATTGACAAGTATCTTTGAAATAAAGAAACAATCTCTCAGCCAGGTGTATGCCTATAATCCCAGCTACTCAGGAACCTGAGTCAGGAGGATCACAAGTTTAAGGCCATGCTTGACAACTTAGACCCTGTCTTGAAATAAAAAGAGGTGGGGATGTAGCTCAGTGGTAGTGTGTTTACCTAGTATGCGGGAGGCTCTGATTTCAATCCCTGGCACCAACAAAGAAAGAAAGAAAAAAAAGATAGGCTCATAGCAAATGCAGTGCAGGATCCCAGCAACTCTGGAGGCTGAGGCAGGGCGATTACAAATTTGCAGCCAATCTCAGCAATTTAGTGAGGCCCTAAGCAGTGTGAGATTCTGTCTTCAAAAGGGATGGGTTGCAGCTTAGTGGTAAAACATCCCTGGGCTCGATTTTCCATACCACAAAAAAACAAAAACAAAACAAAAAAAATCCACACACAACCAAATAAACAAAAACTTTTCTTGAAGACCCTTGAGCCAGGTCTTACTCGTTGAGCCTAGGGCATATTGTGTCCTACTAAAGTTGTGCTTGTATTGACAGGTAATTAGCAACAGAGGGAGAGCAGACCCATATCACCAACTGGTGTCTATAGGTTGAAAGGGAGCAAATACAGTAATACCTGTTGCATTATATATGTAATCCTGATTTCCTATCTTCCTTAAAAATACCACCCCCTGCTTTTTTTTTTTTAAACCTTTTTTCCACTGCTGGGGATCAAACTCATGTTCTAGAAAAGATGTGTGCCACTACTCATGCTACCTCAATCCATTTTAAAATGAAATTTCTGGAAAGTAACATTTGTCAGTTTGTTATTTGCTTCTGTGTATTATATTTCCCACCCACTTTGTACCATGCTTTGTCATTATCTTGTTTTATTGATTTTGTTGTCTTTTGAAGAAACTCTAATGTGATTTTCTGCCCACATTTTCTTCTTTCATTTCTAAGATGTTATATCAGTCATTTTCCATTGTTAGCAGTGATAACTTTCTTTAATGTACTTACTGAAGAAATTAAGAAAGTTCCTGATGAGGAGTCTATAGGATTATTCTTAGTCTAACTGAAAAGTTTGTAACAAACAGATTTTAACTAGAGAGGGGAAAGTTTTCTTTCTTTGAAAATGCTTTTCATTAATCCTGAATAATCACATACCAAAATTTTTTACCTCTTTTTAGGAACTCAGAAATCTAATTACCTGTTTCCTTCCCTTTATTTTTTCTTGGAGCCAGGAGCAAAAGCCAATTTTGCAACAACAACCACCTCTAACCTCCCCACCAGTGAGGAAAAAGTGGAGAAATTTACTATTTTCTCTTTTCTTCTTACACACATGTGCAACTCTTTCAGGAGAAAAACACCTAGGAATAATTTGAGTGTTTTGAAGGCTGGCATGTTTCCTTGGTGATTTTCTCTAATAGAAATTTTATTCTTCCTGATGGACTATTGAAATGTCAAATTTTGATATTTGGGTAAAAATTGCCTGTTTGTATTTCCCCCTAGACTTAGAAGGCCTAGGAAATCAGGAATGGCATCTAACTTGCTCACCATTGCTCATTTAACATCTCACTTGGTGCCTCTGGCATATAGTAGGTATTTAGTAAATATTTTTGAATAGAGATTTCTATCATTCAGAGGATTCTTTTTTCATGTCAAAGCTTTGCTTTTACTCTTCTGCATATATTTTGTTTCCCTTTCCTTATAGGTGTGAAGATTTACACGTAATACTATTTTTCAGATCTTCTAAGTGGTCATGATAAAAATTGGATGAATAATATCATTTTCACCCTTTCCCATGAAAAAATTGCCTTAAAGCTGTTTATGCTTTTTTTTCTACTACTTGATTTTTTTTCATTAAAGATTAAACCCAAGACCCTCCTACATTCTTCACTTATACTCAATCACTTAGCTAAACCCCTAGTACCCCTACACTACTATTTTTTTTTAGATATTTATTTTTTATTTGTAGTTGGATGCAATACCTTTATTTATTTGTTTTTATGTACACTACTATTTTGAAATTTTAATTTCACAACATTGTCTCACTGAGTTGGCCAGGCTGGACTCAAACTTACAAGCCTCCTGCCTCAGCTTCCTGAGTAGTTGGTTTTACAGGTGTGTGCTACCACACCTGGATATGATTTTTTTAACACGATATTTGAAAGCTCTTTTTGCAAACTAGAACATGCAAATTGTGCATTCCACAAAGTTCTGTTATACCTCACAGCATGGCTATTATGCTAGAAACATATTTCCTGTTCCTTTCCCTCCAGATAGTAGCCATACAGTTGAATATTGGAAACAAAATTTTATGATCATCTCCTAAAGGCCTCAAATATTATAGTATCAAATAAATTGTGTCTGAAAAATTTTAAGGGAAGAAAAACTTAAGATCAGATTGTACTTTCCAAAAAAGCAGAATACGTTTGAATACTCTGAGTATGTATATTCATGGTTGACCTTTTTCCCTTGTTTTCAGGACTATTCTGTTAAGTGTAATCTCACTGCTTAATGAGCCCAACACCTTCTCCCCAGCCAATGTGGATGCTTCGGTTATGTTCAGGAAATGGAGGGACAGTAAAGGAAAAGACAAAGAATATGCTGAAATCATTAGGTAAGGTACATTGTTCTGCCTTCTGTTTGATTAGTTCGAGCCTTCATACAAACCAAAGTGTATGCTGGAACCAAGGATTAAATAAAATTTAAATATCCTGTCCTACTCCAGAATAATTTCTCACAATTAGATTTATAGTGTGGAAGGGATGATTACTTCCTGAACCTAATAGGTTGGCAATTGAGGGAGCATCCAATAAAAAAGTGCAGCAGATTCAATTTTCTAGGAACTACTGCTTCCAGGTTCTTGACTAGTTGTTTGTAAACTCTCCTTCCTAGCCATTTTAGGGAATTACCCAAAGTATTCCAGACATTCCAGGCATATAAAAATTTTTCTTTTAAATTTTCTAATTAATGAAGTACTATAACTTATTGGTATTTTTGGCCCTAGTAGCAAGTACATATTCTGGATATCCACTTTATTAGCAATACTAATGTATGGCATGACCAGAAGACTTGGAATCTACTGTGGCTCTGCTACTTGTCCTGTGACCATTTATCAGTTAACTTTTTTGTTTAGTTTTCTTCATCTGTATAAAAAATAGAAGGTATCAGCCTCAACCTTTTATTTCCTAATAACAACCCTAAGGGAGTCATAAGATTTTCATAATAGGGATGGGGACATAGCTCAGTTGGTACAGTGCTTGCCTCAGACACACAAGTCCCTGGGTTCAGTCACTAGCTAAATAAATATTATAATAGCACATAAGAATTGTGCAAAATATTCAACCCCCCCTTAATAATATTATATTTTTATACTTTCAAATAGGGTCCTTCTCTATAGGAGAATGTTAGGAATTTGGTTACTACTAGAATTTATACAAATGGAATCCCTCTCTATGAATCTACTTGGCATGATACCATGTAATAGACCCAAAAAAAACCACCAAGAAATCATGTGTGACTATAGAACTGTTTTCTGCTCTTTGGAATCACTTTTAGACCCTCCCTAAACCACAGCTGTGAGATTTCAAGGATAGAGTTTGGGTTTCCATAGTTCTCAGCCACCCAAGTGACTGTTGCAAACCAAAAGTTTAAGATAATTGGTATAAATAACAAGGACCAATAGAAATTTAGAGGAGCAGGAATGAAGCCCGTTGTTCCAGTAAGTGAATATTCCCAAGATGCTTCTGGTCTTTGTATAATGTTGATAAATGTTAATAAATGATGTTTTTTCCCCAGCATTTATTATCTACCAGCTTAAAGTACTCTGCTAGATGGGTTAAGACAGGCTTTTCTCCTGAGGGGGAACTCATACTTGGCATTTGCAAACAAATGAAGTAATAAGTGCAATTATAGAAGCCCAAACAAGATACACTGGAAGGAATATATAAGGCAATAGAGTTCCTAGGAACGATAATGCTTTATAACCAGAAATTTTTCATGCTTAAAGAAACGGGGGTAAGGAAAAATCTTTTAAGAGATACAGAAACATGTTTAACTAGACACAGGCGCATAACAGCATGGCATGTCAAGGACATTATAAGTAGTTTGATAATGCTTGAATGTAAGTTTTGATTTGTAGTAGTAGGAAATTAAGCAGGATTGACACTACATTTTAAGGGACATTGAAGTCATGATAAGAAAAAATGGTTCTCGATTTCAGAAGAGATAGGGTGTCACTTCATGATTTTTAGGGAGGTAGGTAAGAGATGATTCTATTTGAGATTGACCAGAAAACCATGGACTAAACTGAGAAAATTAGGCTTCAAAGCAATAAAACTTTGGAGAGGGATTTATGATTTAGAAACCAATGCTTTTCATGAAAAATGGAAAAACAACTGGCTGTGCAAACAAAATGAAAAATGCACTCTTGCTGAGTGTGGATAGCACTGAAAAAAATGTAAGCTGGAACTATCAGTATAAAGGGGAGCGTCGGTTAAAACCTTGGGAACTGGTAAGATGTCTTAGGGCTAAAGAGCACAGAGATTGAAGCCTAGAAGCCTCAGGAATATCAGTATGTAAGGAATGACAACATAACTAAAATTCAAAGAGGAACTTAAAGAGGTCTTGATTGGGGATTACTTGAATCCTCCCCGTCTTGATGACTCAAGTTTTTATATTTGTTTGGTAGATAGAAACTATTCTTCATTCAATCAAAATATTTATTGCATACCTGTTGTATGCTAGCCTGTTGTTATAGGCACTGGGAAAGTAGAAGTAACTAAGAGAGGTATGACATCTGCTCTGATGAAGCTTATATTCTGATAGGGAGATACAGAAGAATGAACAAAAAGGATCATGAAAAGAAAAAAAAATACTAAAATAGTTATCAGTAGAATATAACAAGAAGCTGTGAGAGAGTGATGCCTAATTTAAATGGTTGTCTCTGGGGTTGGGTTTGTAGCTCAGTGATAGAGCATTTCTGTAGGATGTGTGTGGCCCTGCATTCAATCCCCAGAATGTGGGGCTGGGAGTTAGGGGGTACTCTGAATGCAGTTTGAGTCAAGATATGACAAAGAAGAAACACATAGATCAGGAAAACTAGTTGTCCAGACAGAAAGTCAACTAAATGTGTTCAAGGCACAAAAAATGGACCAGGGTCATCTGAATGTTAGAATTGGGGAAAGCAATGTGACCGTGAGAACCAAGACTGGGTCATAATAAGACTTTGGAATGTAAGCATAAGATTACATTTTTACTCTGAATACAGATTAGGATGATTATTGAGCTACATTTATTAGGTCAGGTTGGTGATGATAAAAAATATATTTATTTTAGTTGATACCTCATTAATACTTGAGAATCACTGTGTTTAAGCTTCCTTCTTGTCAATATTTATCCCCCCCCACAAAAAAGTCATTATTAAAAGTTTCCTTCAAAATGGTAACTAATGGGTTGAGACTGTTTAATATAATGTAATACGTAATATCAGTTGCTTTCAGGTAGGAACTTTGAGTTTGAAAAGCAGTGTGATAAGGAATCTTGACTGGGGCCAATTATAAATCTATTTTCAAAACAGAGACAATAAACTACTTGTCCTTCACTCTTCAGGAAACAGGTTTCAGCCACTAAAGCCGAAGCAGAAAAGGACGGAGTGAAGGTCCCCACAACCCTGGCGGAATACTGCATCAAAACTAAAGTGCCTTCCAATGACAACAGCTCAGATTTGCTTTATGACGACTTGTATGATGACGACATTGATGATGAAGATGAGGAGGAGGAAGATGCCGACTGTTATGATGATGATGATTCTGGGAATGAGGAGTCGTGACGTGCTCCTTTGATGCCCCTGTACTGCCCTGCCGTCTCAGGCCAAAGGGAGGGGAGCAAGTGGGGACCTAGCAGCGGCCCCTCAACAAAAACCTATTCACCGGGGGTGGGGAAAAAAAAAAACACAGCTCCTGCTGACTCCCCTTATGGATCTCAGTTTGCTCCTTTTTATGGACCTTTCATGGAGAGAAAGTAACCCTCCACAGAATGTCTGAATTCTTGCATTCTTTACCCTTCCATCACTGTATTGATTCTTTTTTTAAAAAACAAAAACAAAAAACAAAAACCAACAACCCAAACTCCCGCCTCACTTCGTCTCTGCAGAATGTTCACAGCAAAACACGTTTGTTCCGTTTTTAGATTCCTGAAGAAATTAGTCTTTTCAAGACATTAATGTGTTTAAAGCTGGAAACCGTTGGGAGTTCACAAGTGCTGCATATACTGGGTAGCAAAAGAAAATGGAAAAAAAAAAAAACCCACAAAACAAACTTTAAAAAAAAAAAAAAAAGCAAATTTGCCAAGGTTTAGCTGCTCATTTACATTAGTGTGTACGCATTCATTCAAGTCCCATGGTGGTGAATTTTCTTTGTTTCCCTTCCTAACCAGGATACAGTGGGCATCAGGGACTTACTTCATGCTAAGCCTGATGAAATGTGCTCCTTAAGCCTTCACAAAATCATCCTAACACGGAGGCCTCAGCTATTCTTGAGGAGAGAAATCAGATTTTGTTTTTTGAAATCGATTGGGAATCTAAAGCCTGAAATAAATATTCATACTTTACATAGAACTAAGCACTTGGTTGCTATTTATTCTTTAAAGGCAGGGTTATTTTTCCCCCCACTAGGGAATGGGGTGTGTGGGGGAAAAAGTGGAAATTAGTGTGTGTGGATTTTTAGTGTTAAGAACAAAGTTAAAAATCACGCCAATTTTGGTTGATGCTGCTGAGGGAAACTCAAAACTACTGGTGGCCACTGGGAGAGGAGACACCTGTTTGTACTTAACATGGCCTTCCCCTCAAAGCTATTCTCTCACTGTGGGGTGGGTTTTTTTTTTTTTTAATTTAAGTAGCCACTTTTAATTACTCAGTATTAATCCTAGATGCATGTGTTAAGATTTTGGTTTTCATTGAGCTGCTTATACTGATAGTGATAAATGTGGATGTGTATGAGACATGAGTGACCAGTTCTGACTTTTTTCTCCTTTCAATATACTTTGGCTTTGGAGTGCAGCAGAAATTGTGCATGGAGCTTCCCATGGGTTTTTGTCTCTTCTGGCAGAACCAAGGGAGTTGACTGCAGGCAGTTTCCAGCCACGCGAGGCTATATCTTCTAGCCAAGCAGTTGCTGCAGGTTTGATTTCCAGGTCTCTATCATGTATTGCTTCAATTAAGATTGAGATCCAGCAGCCTTCATCATCCAAGTAGGTGATTTTTGTCATTGAGGTATGTGAGTTCATGGTGTTCTGAGTGGGGAAGCCGGCTATAAAGTCAGATTTCAGAAGGAAAGTAACAGCAAGGTGACAGAAATCCTACTTAAGATCCCTGTATACCAGTGTCATCTCCTTCTTTAGATCACACTCAGAATGAACCAAAGGGCAGATTAGGGACAAGGTAGGACAGATCCTAGGGTGGTCAGAGTAGGTGATTGATGCTTATTTCCATAGCTCCTCCTTCCTTCCTTTCTGATCTCAGGGTTTTCATTGCTCTTCAAACTTTCTCTCAAACATGCGCTATTTCTCAGCAGTCCTCTCTGGCCTCTAAAGTTTGGTCTGTTATTAAATGAGAATGTCTAACACATTGAGGTTGTTATGGGATATTGTTGAGTCTGATCCCAGAATCTTTGTGTAATCTCCACAGGGCCCGGGCTGCTAATTGCACCCTTAAATCTAGTGATTCCACAGATTCAGGGAACAGAGCAGCTCTGTAGGACAGTGTTGTGATTTTGTCCAAGTAAAAACTCTAAAGGATGTTGGAACTAGTCTTTTTGGTCCCCACACTTCTTAAGTAATGCTTCCAGATAACCTGCAAACCTTCTGGAGCCAAAGCCTCTCAATGTTCTCTTGATTTACCGCCCCACCCCCTGCTTTTATCCCCCTTCCATCCCCATACCTGGCCCATACTATCCAAGTTTACAGCCAGTAGCTCGGTCTCTCTCTCTTAGAGCCCTAAAATAAAGCCTTTCATTCCCCTTACTGCTAAAGCATCTCACTCCCAGGGTAGGCCAGGCATCTTGGCATTATGGGAGGTGCTGTGCTATATTCAGCTTTGTCCCATTAGGCCCTGTTGGCCTCTTGCATGTTGACTCAGGGAGCCAGAGCGCCAAGTGGAGGTCATACCTCTCAGCCCTTCAGGGCAATATTATTGTAAGTTGGGTTTGCCTCTGATGAGAGTACAATCAGTTCCAGAAGCCAGGGGTATGTTGATTTATTGGCAGGTAGATATTCTGATAGTTTAGACTGACTTATAAAACCCAGATGCTGGTTCCAGACTTCTGTCCCTGAGAACATATCCTGTGGAAAAATACTTGAGTATCTAAGTGTTGTTTCTTTTTTCTTTTGGGAGTGGATGGAGGTCTCTGGCTTATGCCAAAACCTCATGAGTACAGTTGTGCTAATTATTTGGTGTGAAGTAAACTCAAAATCCTGCATATTTAGATTTCTTTTGGTTCTAGTTGAGGCCTCACTAGAATACTCTGTTGAGGCCGAGTAGAGACATAATATCATGATTCCGTTGTTGGCTTCTCTCACAGTCCCCCCCCTTCCTTTCTTATCATTCCAGAGTTCTTTTCTACTAGCCGAACTTTTGTAGTTCCTTCTTTCCAAAACCTTCCTTGGCAATTATTTGCTTCTTTACCTTTGCTGGTTTCCTTGTTTGAGGCAATGGAGTAAGAGATTGGAAGGAAAAATGTATAGTACTCTGCTGAAAATTAACTTTCCACCCCTCTCATCCTGATAAACAAGGTTTACATTTACAACTAAACAAATTCAGATGCAATTTTCAACTATTCTGAAACCAGCAGGACACACCTGACTTTAATAGTTTTCTTAGCTGAAATTGTAGATGTTTTTCTTCAGTTTAACTTATGAGAAAAGATTATCTTGATGCATTTTTGTGTTGACCTCCCCTTTAGTGGTTTATTTTGTCTTTTTCTGCCCATCTGTCTACTAATAAAATGTGAAATAAAATATACCTGTATTGCTACTTCCCCATGGGATGATCCTCTTTTTTTTTTTTTCCTTGTGTTAAAAATGAATGGTGGTCTGAACATTTTCATTATTTCTTTGAAAATTATGCCCAGAACTCAGCTGAAAAAACAGGACCACCACCAAAACTGGCTGACCTGTCTGTGTCATCATGCATCCTGTCCAAATCCATCTCCTTTCCTAGAGAATTATCCCAATCCACACAAGATTTCAAGGAAAGTTTGTAAGGGCATAGCCATTTGTTAAGTTTGACTCAATTTGATTCCAAAACAGAACAGTCTTTGGAGGGATTGGTCAGATACCGGGCTGCCTTCCTTGGGTAAACATTTTATTTTCATTGTTATTTGTGATCCCAACTTCCTGCTGCTAATAAACAACAGGAAATCGAACAAAAGATAACACGGTTTGATAAAAGTCCCCATTTAGTTTTAGTTGTGAATTCTAGCAGGACCCCAAGTCCCCATTTAGTTTTAGTCAGGACCCCTAGCTATATAATAGCCATGTGATTAGCTAAAACACTGCTCTCAACTACAGAGCCCCAATGAAGAAAAGGTAAAAACTCACCTTAGTCGGCTGGTTCTTCTGCCACATTAAGTTGACCAATACAGGTCAGGCATTCTAATCTAAGCCTTACAACCTGTGGTCAGAAGCACAGAAGTTTCTGCTTTATGAAGTCCAAGATGTTTCTCCCAGGCCCATCCCTCAGCCACACCACACAGAGACCGTGCATGCTCTCATAACTTTATTAGGTGGAGATTGGGCAAGAGAAAACCCCTGACAACGTTGCCCACCTGTTTTAGGACAACTGGAATAGAGGAGTCTTTGCTTGGAGACGGGCTTTCACTGAAGTGGAAGCAGATCTTTTGATTTTTAAAGGGGAGCTGATGGGCTGAACATCTCTCTGAGACCAGATTTTGTTTTTTTTAAGTGGTCAGCCAGAAGGCAGCAAGTTTCTAGGGACTGGAACAGACCAGAAGAAACCCCTGCTCTATGTGAAGACAGGGCCCAGATTTATGTTGGGCAGTAGATGATGATCTTTGCTATTCTCAGATCAAGATACCCTGGAATGGGAGCATGACAAATGACAAAAGGACCAATCTCTCAAAAACAGTATAAAGTAATTGCAAGCTGAAGAAAATTCAAATAATGGTTACAAGGGACTGAAATAAGTCGTGATTCTTCATTGGTATGTGACCATTGCACAATGTGCCTCGAACCACCCCTTCCAGTGGCAGCCCTTAGCAGCCCATGGAGTAGGGCACCCGTGGAAGGCCTGAAGGCATCAGAGGTGCAGGGGCCTTACATGGCTATAGTGAAAAGGGGTCTGGATGGGGAGAGCAGAATTGGCTGCCATCTGCAGCTATACCCCCACTCCCCTGGGGCTTCTCATACATTTACAAATACATACATAAATACACTACATACAATATAGTGAGTCTGGGAGCTCCCCACTGAGAGGCTCGGCTGACAGTTACATGTCTCAGAAATTCTAGGGAAGGGCACCAGGCTCCCAGAAACGTGCTCCAAGTGTTCTCTCCTGTCCAGGGTAAGCCCTACCCCAAAGCCCACCCCTCTCTTAAAGGTCTAGTTTGTCCAGTATGGAGAGTTGCCATAGGTGGGTTTGGAGGCTTGAGACTTGGGCTGCAGGGAGCTGGGCTGGCTGCGTTGACCTGAACCACTCTGAGGAGAATGAGAAGGAAGAGAAAAGGCTGTCAGGGCTGGGGTAGAATCCCCTACCCAGGAAGCCATCTCCATTACTGTACTCACCTGAGTGTCCTGGGGAAGGTGGTGGTGCAGCAGCTGCGAGTGTGGCTGCTGGTGGGCTGGCAGGATGTGCAAGAATGGTGGCGGAGCATAGCCAGGGGCTGCTCCAGGGGCCAGGGGTCCAGTTGAACCCAAGGCCGAGGGCAGGCTGAAAGGTGGAGGGGTCCCTGCATGAAATCCCTGCTTGTCAAAAGTCTGCAAGGCAATGAAGACAATGCTGAGGGTGAGGTTGGACTCTTAACTCTCACAAACCTACCTGGCCATCTTTGTCCTTCCTCACCTGTGTTTTGTAGACAGAACCAGTCATATCAGGCAGGCCAGTGGTACTTGAAGATACTGATACTCCTAGGAAGAAAATCAGGTAGTTGTTCCCATAGATATTTGGTCCCAGCTAGGGATACTGAGGGAGCTCTGCCTGAGAGGACAGACAGAAGATGACTATTCCAAACTTTAGCCCTAGAAATGAGGGGCAAACATTACCTTTCCCAGGCCCAGAACCTGTAGACTTGTTTGGTGCCTGTGATGATCCACCATAGCCACCCTTGGTGTAGTCTCCTGCTGCTGTTCCCTGGGTCAGGTCATCATAACCTAGCATGGCAGAGAACAAGAGGCATGTGTGAGCTAAGCAAGCCTCTGCTACACCCTGTGTGTCTGTGCTGGAAGCACCTCTCACCTGTGCTGTAGCTGTGCTGGCCATAACCACTGGCCTGTTGGAAAGGAGTGGTGGGGGTGCTGAGGTTCACACCATGTTGCTTGGCTGATGCTGGAGGGACCTGGTGGGCACAGGTGGGGGAACAGTGTAAGAACACAGGCAAGGTGGAGCAGGTCATACATCCTCTGCATAAGGTAGCACAGATGACATACCCACAACCAGAGGGGATTCCTTTTCATTAGTGCAGCACATGATATAAAAGCACATGAGGAATATAACCTCACCTGAGGCTCAACAGTTACTGAGGGTCACATGAGACACTCTGAGTAGTATCATGATCTGCCCCCTCCCTGCTGCTCCAAGGAGCTGGATTACAGGCCCAAAGTTTCAACCTTCCAGGGGTATAAGGCCTAGGGAGAAATAACACCACCCACAAATACTCACGAACATGGTGGGCCCATATTGGAAGGCACTGGGCACGCCTGTGTAGTAGGGGAGGCTGGTGTAGCTGTAGCCAGGTGGAAGAGCGGGATTCAAAAAGGGCTGCTGGGCTGTGTGGTGGGTCTGGGATTGGCTCTGCTGTGGCTGAGCTAGCGTGGTGGGGGGTGCAGGGGATGCAGAGTCACCTCGGCCAAACTTTGTGACATCACCTAGGATAAGAGGAACACTGACATTTGTAAACGAGGGGAAAAGCCAGACTGGCTCCTGCAAACAGGAATAGGTCTGGCTACCAGTCAAGTACGGATAGTGAAAAGGCCTCTCACCTCTTCAACACCTGCCTTTCAATCTCCTGGGATGAGCTACAGCCTTCTCCACACCCTCCCACTCTCAACCACTGAGCCAACTAACCTGAATATGGATTATTAGTTAGGCTCCCATCTCGGCTGGCAAGGGCTGTGGGTGCAGCAAAGGGAATTCCATAGTAATCCTAGGAAAGACCAGGGGGGCTTATTCAGGAAAAGGTCTCACCCCACTCCCAGGAGAGCACAGCCGGAAGGGAACAGGCAGATGGCACTCTGAGTGACTCCATACTCCTGAACACAGGCTGCATAACTTAAAGGTAGCACTCACAGGCAGCTGCAGTTATAGGTTGCCCTTGTGTGTAAGCAGCTTGGTAGCACTGCGTAACTGACTAGCATGCAGACAGACTGACCAACTGGACAGCATTCACCAGGCAGAGATGTTGGAGATCCAGTCTCTCAGCCACACCACAAATGGGTACCTGACCAATGCCACAAGCTGAATTAACTTTATTGGCTTTTCATATATTGGAGTCTCTAAAGACCAGTCAGGAAAATTGATGAAATGGAAGAAATTTGGAAAAGGAGTCAGCAGGAAAGGAAAAGCTTACAAAGTTTAAAAGAGGGACAGAGTGCAGTGCCAGGTAGGCGCACAGCACTTCAGGTCTAGGACCCCAACTAGCCTCTCCCTACTCTGCCTTAGCAACACTGACACTGCAGAGGACCTAGGACTAAGAATAGTGGATATAACATTGTATGGAGACAAAGAGCAGTGGAACTGTGTGCAAAGGAGGCCTGTCTGGCATTTACTTGCCATCTAGGGCTTTGGCTATCCTGGACACACTGAGTAAAGGATAAACCGTTGGGCTGCCCTAGAGCTATGGTCACAGCCAGACAAAAGCCATCCTGGCTGGAAATGTCACTAACACCCTTCTTTGGATACATCTCCAGGAAACCCACAGTATCCTCAGCCTAGAACCCCAGGAGGCAGCAAGACTGGGTAAATTGCATGGACCTATACGGAACACAACTGGGAACAGGTATAAAAAGCCCAGAAGTGGGAGTTCATTCACAGATATGGAAATCTAATGGCAGGCATTAGGCACAAAAGAAACAAAGGCAAAAACATAATCCAAAGGAAAAGTAAATGAAAGGTACATGAAACTTGGGCTCAGAGGGGATTTCTTCTAAGGCACAGAGAAAGGAAAGGAATCATCTGAATAAGGGAGTAGAACCAAGGAGAGTCCCTGAGACAGAATGAATTTCTGCTGGCATTTCATGGAGGGAATACTGGGAGCAGAAACATCTCTTTTGCTCCAGGGACTCCCAGGAGACTTCTAGCAGAAGACCAAGCTATCCTTCAGTCATTCTCTGCCTCTCTAAATAACTTCCACTGGTGGAAAAGTGCTTCCCTTCAGACACAGGAGTCTGGTGGGTAGAGGTGGGACCTGCAGCTTCCAGTTCTTGGTGACTTGGCACAAGAAATATAAATCCCACAGGTACATTAAAGAAGGAAAGGTAACACCTCATTGAGGATAAAGCCCCTTCCTCTGGGAACAGGAAAGACCACATCCAGTGGTCTGACAGTCTCTTCCAGGAAATGTCAGGCCAAGAAGAGTGGCTAAATAGAAGGAGATTCTGTCTGCTGGCAGAGGAAGACGTGGGCCTTCTCCAACCACCTGCTTCTGTGTTATCCCAGGGATGGCCCAGTGCTTCATCCTTATTCAGAAGGAAGAGGCAACTGTGCTCTGAGAGGCGACAACCACTAGGGAAATCCCAGAGTGAGCATTATTGCACATAAAGATGCGAGACCAGACCCAGAAGACACCTTAAGGATGGTCAGTTCCAGCTATTCATTCATCAGAGGCAGAAGAGTAACACTTCTATCCCAACGTAGCCACCAGCCACCACGGTCCAGAGAACCAAATGGTGCTTCAAGCAAAAAAATATAAAACTCCAGGGCCTACCAAATAACCGGTATATCTTGGGTCACATGATTTTTTTTTTCCCTGCTTTTTTTCTTTTTGGTACTGAAGATTTAACCCAGAGGTGCACTGAGCTACATCTCCAGCTCTTTAGCCTGTCTCAAAATAAAAAAGAACTGGGGATATAGATACTGGATTCAAACCCTAGTACCGCACACACATGCACATGCAAGGGTACAGGGGAAGATAAAGACCCACATTTAGTAGGGAAGGCATGGTTTACTGGGGCTCTTGGTAACAAAGGCCCTTAAGTTTCCCAGGGATGATCATAGATCATTCATCTGCCAAAGCTATTGCCACATCAGGCACAATCACCAAATGGAAACCAGCTTTCTCAGCAGTAATGTTGAGGCAATTCCATAAGCCAAGGATCCTAAGGGCCAAGCAGTGTGGCAGTCACGGGAGGAATGAGAACTGCCATTGCCTTTGCCTCACTACTCCCACTTACCATAGGCAGCCGTGACTGAAGCATCTGGAGCTCATCATACCCGTAGATCTGCAGAAGAACCAGAAAGGGTATTAGGGAGAAGGCCCATTAGTGGCCTCAACAAGATTGGGAGGATAAGATACCCACAAATAGGACCTAGCTCAGTTGCTGTGGAACAGATCCCTCCCAGATGGAATCTACTGCCCAGATGGAGTCTAGATTTGAAGGAACATCATGAATTGGAGAAGCAAAGACAGAGGGCTCAGGGAAGAAGAGCAGTCCAAGGTGGCCAGCTCCAACCCAACCCAAGGTTCCCCTCACCAGGTCCTGCCAGGTTCCAGCCCCTGAGGCCAGGGGAGCTGGGGCTGGCCAGGAGTTCCACCGTGCGCTCACCGGGTAGGCAGGTAGCAGTCCTCCAGGGCCCATGAGGTACTGGTTGTGCAGCAATGGAGGCACCCCCTGAGGGAGGTTTGGGGGTGGTTTGCCTGCAGAGAGAAAAATCAAATGGAATGGAAATCTACTAGACAAGTTCTTCAGCTATTGGAGAAGAGATCCAGGTCTCATGAGCTCACTGTCGGTTACAGTGCTAACCCTGATGGGTCCACGACAAAAGAACATGGCAATGGCTATCAGATACAGAAGGTCATGCCAGAAAGGGGCTTGAGTGAAGACAGAAAGCAAACACCACCAGATTCAGGGTGTTTCAACATCAGAGGGTTGTTTCAGAGAGAAATACCTCTTAATTCCTCAGTCACAAAGGTCAAAATATCAAATGAACATAAAAAACAATCAGCCTCCTCAAAACGGAAGCTACACAGTGTCTTAAGAGGGTAGGCTGTGTTAAAAGTGGGTTTGGACCATTTCCACAGGCAGTCATATAACTTGGGCAAGAGATACCCATCCAAATTAGGACTGACCCCTCTCCCTCAGTCATCTTTTGATCTCAGCTCTGGGTATGAATGAAGACAGAACAATTGGGGATCTAGAAACACAAAAGTTGTTGGGAATCCTGCCCCAGGGAAGGCTACCCAAAAACTCCAACTGCAAGCAATCCCCAGAGGCCAGAGTGAGCACATTATCTTCTAATGTTTGTGGCCATCCGCTGAGCCCTGGCAGCCACCACTAGACACAGTTCCTGGGAAGCCAGCTGTGCATGCTGAAAGTGGCATGGGTGAGCAGGAAAGGTCCCTGGAACACATACCTGAGGTCACCAACGGTGCAGCTCTCGTATTGCTGCTGACTGTGTTCACAGTGGTCCCTCCCAGGCTGAGGCTGCTCGCTGTGCTTATGCTGCCAGGCAGGCTGACACCTGAGGGTGGGGTGCTTGAGGTGGAGGTCGCTGCTGGGGAGAAAGCAGCTGAGGACTGCAGGGAAGGGGCACTCTCCATGCTGTTGTGCTGTCAAAACAAAAGTCCAGACACATGGATCTGGAGGCACAGAGGGTACTGGGAGAGGCTGGCCTGGACTTTGAGCCCACAATCTCATGGCTGAACAGGTAGACAGATGACAATACTAATATCCAGGAACTCTAAGGAAAAGGGCTCTGTGTTCAGTGATCACTGTTGTCTCTTAACACTACATGCAGATTCAGCCACCAGGACTCATAAACTGAATATCAATAACACTGAAATTGAGCTCTATGACAAAAACCCACTTAAAACTCCTTCAAGTTGATCAAGCTTTGTATTTGAAACAAGGTACAGAAGCAACAAACTGCTGATCACAAAAGCAGAGACTCAGAAGAACTAACCTCAGGGCCATAGGCAGCCCAGCCAAGTCAGAGTCTTTGAGGTATTTCTGTCTATTAAGCACTTTAACTATTCTGGTCCATGCCACAGGAGGCCACCAAAGTCCTTTAATCCAAAACCTCACAGTCTAACAATGCCTCATCAGGGACTACTCCATAAAGACCTGCTCTTATTCATATTCAACAAGGTCCACCCAGAAAGGAAGGGCAATAAACAACAGAAAATTCTCTGAGACCCTAAGTTCCAGGAATCCAGCCAAGCACTCGAGTCTAATAACAAGGTATCACAAAAAATTTCAAGCACTAAGGAGGTAGAAGAAGAGTTCTACTGAATTGGACAAAGCAAGCCCCAAATAGGTAAGAAAAAGTTCTCTAAGACTGACTTAAGGGGATTGAGGTGGTGGCTCAGTGGTAGAGTGCTTGCCTAGCATGTGTGAGGCACTGGGTTTGTTTCTCAGCACCAAGTATAAATAAATTAATAAATAAAATAAAGGTCCATCAACAATTATAAAATATTAAAAAAAAAAAAAAAAAGACTGACCTAAGTCTTCAAATCAAAAGTTGTAAAGAATATAGAAGTACAGAAATTCCTAGAGGAAAAGCAGAAGGCGGCATCAGGATCAAGGGGTCCAACATACAAAGTTTCTGTGGACATCTCATCCCCAAAGCCTTCCATATCAATCTGAAGAACATACAGAAATGATTCACCAAGTGCCGGGACTTTAGCTCAGTGGTAAAGTGCTTGCCTTGTGTGTGGGGGGCACTGGGTTCGATCCTCAGCACCACGTTAAAAATAAATAAAGATACTGTGTGTTTATCTACAACTAAATATATATTTTTAAAAAAATGATTCACCAAGATTAGGACAGTTGAGGGGCTGGGATTGTGGCTCAGAGATAGAGCACTTGCCTAGCATGTGTGAGACACTGGGTTTATTCTGAGCACTACATATAAGTAAATAAAATAAAGGTCCATCAACAACTAATAAAAATATTAAGACAAAAAAGATTAAGACAGTTGAAAACAGTTTCTCTGAGGCTACCAGGAACTCTTGCTTTTTCAGCATGGAACCAAGACAAAGGGTGTGCTGCATGCCCAGAACAGACGGACTTCCACTTGAGACCACCCACCAATCCCTGCAACAGCTCTCACCAAGGCACCAAGCATTGTTGGCCATCTAGCCTTTCACAGGAGACAAAAATGAACCTTCCTCATCCACAAGAAGTGCCCGCTAGAGAACAGTTCCTGATATATTGAAAGGAACACAAGTCCTCCAGAAAGCCTCTCCTCCCTTCTGCTGCCCCCCAACTCTGTCCGTCACCTCCAAGTAACGAGAAAATGCCTAAGTGTGGACCTAACTGACCCACACACCATTTAAAGGTCTCAATAGTCCATCCAACCAGTCTACAGTTAATCCAAAACCTGGTGTCATCTCACAGTCTACCAAGGATGGGACCAGAGAAGCCAGGGAAGGAGAAAACAATGAGAGTCCTTCATTCTTGTATAAGGAAGAATTATGAAAGAGAAGAAATACATCTGACTATATTTCTTAAAAAGCCACATTATTTGTAAAATGAAAAATACTGGAAAATGGGGTAGGAGGATTGCAAGATCAAGGCCAGCCTCACCAACTTAGTGAGACCTTGTCTCAAAATAAAAAATAGAAAGGGCAGCTGGGGATACAAATTAGTGATAGAGCACTCTCGAGTTGAAAACAAAAAATCTGTACCTCCCATCACAAATGTCTATTGGTCTCCCTAATACACAGAATACCTAAAAAGATATGAAGGACTCAACACAAGGAACCAAGAATATAAATAGTTTACAGGAAGAAATTCAATGTCTTTCAAATATATAAAAAAGATGTCCAACTCCAATTAAAAAATACACAGAGGCTAATTTTCCTAATACACTGCAAAGTACAAATATAAGACAATGCCATGCTGGGGAGGCCTGGAGAGATGAGGTGTGTCATTCACTGCCCACGGAGGGGAACAGGTTGAAATCACAGTACAGGGCAGTGTGTATGGAATGACAAATGCACCAGGCACGGTGAGACATGCATGTAACCCTGTGATTCAGAAGATGGAAGCAGGAGGATTGCAAGATTGAAGCTAGCCTCAGCAACTTAGTGAGCAAAATAAAAAGTAAAAAGGGCTGGGAATGTAAGCTCAGTAGTTAAGAATTCCTGAGTTCAATATCCAGTATCAAAAAAAGTAAAATTTAAAGTGACAAATGCCTTATAGTTCCACAACTAGACCAGATGTAGAAGGTCATCCACTCAACACTAGTAGCAAGACTAAAACAGTCCTGAATGGAGGACACAGTCCCTACAGTATAACTGGGAAGAAAGAATAAACAGCCTGTCAACATAAAACTAGCAACAAGGTATTCCATTAGGAGCAAGGACCACTATATACACAATATTCTCATTTATGTCACAGGACAAAAGGGAGGATAATTGTTGCTTTTTCTGGGCCTGGGGCTGGGCTCAGCAATAGCACACTTGCCTGGCATATGTGAGGCACTGGGTTTGATTCTTGGCATTGCATATAAATAAATAAAATAAAGGTCTATCAACAACTTAAAAAATTTTTAAATGTTGTTTTTTCCTTTTATATGTTTTATTATTTTTTTTTTAAAGCTACTAAGGATGGAGAAAATAGGCAATCCAGGGCTAGAACTAAGAAAGTTAGAGACCAGAAGGCCTTTATAGTATATAGCTTTTTATAACTATCAATAACAATTATTTTGAATGTTTAACAATGTGACCATTCTGACACACAGAGTGTGGAACTCCCTGCATGGGCAGTTCTGGCATCTGGATTACATGACTTGGGAGTTTTCAGCTGGGAAACAGCTTGCAGCTCCCAATCTGGTTCTCAGCAAGAGAGCTATGGGCACAGAGGTGCTCCTCATCCTCATGGTGAGGCTAGCTCATCGTTTCCACAACAAGAGGACAGAGACAGGTGGGCAGCTAAGAGCCTACAATACTCTACCTAGAAGATGGTGGACTCTGGGTTCTTTTGTTATCTTTCATTTTGCTGGGGAAGGGATACTAGGGTTTAAACCCACAGGTGCTTTACTACTGAGTTACATAACTAACCCTTTTTACTTTTTCAGATAGGGTCTCAGTAAGTTGCTGAGACTGGCTTGAACTTGCCATACTCTTGCCTTAGCCTCCCAAGTCACAGTGATGATAGGTGTGTGCCACCATGCCCAAAGCTATGCGTTACATAACAAAGGAGTTTATATAAGATTTCACATGGAAAACTGTAGTTTGAAAGTCACAGTGTTTGATACCAATACAAGACAGGACTGCCACTTTCCAATCCCTCATTCTGTACTTGCCCTGATTCCTTCCTCGGAGGAAACAAATTTCACCAATTTCCTGCCTCTCTCATTCATTTTCATCCAAAATCCTCCCTGCTTGTATATCACCCCCTACTCCAACCTTCCCTGAAGCTTCCAACACCTAGAAGCATGGACATTCTGCTGTCTCGGCATCTTTCAACTTACCCAACTCTCAGCTACTCAGCTTTTATTTAAACACCTCCAATAATATCCCTTCTCCTTTCCCTACCACTCATTTCTTAACCCACCACCATCTGCCCAGACCATTTCTATACCACTTGAAACTACACTCCCAACTTCACAACTGATCAAGTCAGAATTCAGAACCATAATCTAGGGTTATTCTTAGCATATAATAACACTTCCTAGCCAGTACTTCCTTTTTGGATCTCTTCCACCCTGGCTTCCTTGACAACATAATTCTGCTTCCATTTTTGCCCTTCCACCCTTCAGACCCTTCAGACTTCCTTCTTCGAAGTGTGCACCTCTGAGACAGGGAAGACTGCACAGGCACAAATCAATAGGACACCCATGGCTACCACTAGGAATGTCCATGACTACCAAAAGAATGAAACATAGTTACATTGACTGGGCCAATAGCTAGGAATGTCAGTGTCAGAGAAAAATGTGCAGGTGTTTGCAGCGCAGGATAGGAAATCCTTGCCTAAGCTAAGCACTCCCTTTTCCTTTTAAGTATTTGCTCTACACCAAGTAGTAGAGGGTTCAAGGAACATCAATCTTGATTAAAAATGGTTTTTAGGAGTACAAAGGTCAAGTTAACAATGAACCTATTTTTCTCAAAAAGCTACAAATGCCTCAACATAACAAGTGCCAGAAAACAAAACCTCCTCTGCTGGGTAGAAACATCTCATATATCGAATGGGGAACTCAGGAAGTTCTTGGGGAGCTCACCACCTGACATCCCTAGTGATATCATGTGGGATCTGAGGCAATTCATGCAAAGAGCCACATATCAGAAAACATGTCCTCTTATCAAACCCAGAAAACCTATGGTTGAACCAAGTAACTACTCAAGACACTTCATGCAAACAAATCCATATTATCTCAGATTTGAAAATTAATAAACTAAAGCTTCAGGTATGCTAAGGAGGGGTGTTGGGGAGGGAGCCTATGGACACTTACTGTGTGTGGTGTGCTCGAGGACAGTGCTGCCTGCGCAGAGGAGAGGCTGCTCTGGTGACTGGAGAGTGAACTAGAAGACAAAACAGAGCACCCTGTGTCCATCCAAACAGGTACCCAAACAGGTTATTCCAAAAGAACGAAGCACACTGGGCTCCCAGGGTTATATTCCTGCTTGGCCCTATCCCTGGGGAAGCCTCCACATCAGACCTCATGCCCTTGGAACCAAGTGACAGGATCCTGGTTGTGAGAAATGATCTAAAGTCTCACTCACAACAAGATCTGATATCTCCTGGCCTAGGAAATCTATAGAGGAAAATTCAGTGAACTATAACTCTTTCCTCTTCAAGCAATAGAAAAAGTGAAAACAGGACTGCTCTATGAACACTGTCCTGCGCTGAGAGCTCATAAAATCTTCGAATGAGTGAAGAAAGGTCTGTGTTCAACCACATATGCCAGAGTCAGAGCCTGAATTTCAATCAGATCCAGAGTTCAAATAAAAAGCTTTTGCTCCCAAGGGAAAGGGTCAAGATGGAGCACTACACAAAAGATATAGGTAATAAACAACCCCATTTTCCTACACCCTCTTCAAATAACTTCCTCTCTGGAGTCATGACAAGTATTAAATCAGACACCTGCTCAGAAATTCAACATCATTCACATTATATATCAGTAATATGGGTCCAGAGCTGGGGACAGGCTATACTCAGGGTGTCTGCCTGATGTCCAAGAAGAGTCACAGGGAACCAAAGGCCCATTCGATTCCAGGAGAACCAGTGCTCTGTGCCAGCAAAAGCATTATAAGCCAGCAAAATTTTTCTATCTGGTGGTATTTGACTTGATCTGGGCAAAACCTAAACTGGAGTATTAATTCAAAAGCCCAAGATGTCATGTCAGAAGCAACAAGTGTGTTTTGTTCCAGGAAACAACCTTCTACAGAGGCTCTAGGACTTTGCCCAATGTGCTTCTCACTCTGGGCCCACCTTTCCCCCATACCTGCTAAGCTGAGAGAGGGGGCTGCTGGACAGGTCACCAGGCTGGGACAAGGAGGGCAAAGTGGCAGTGTGCTGGGATGCGGAGGGCAGAAGCTCAGTGCAGGAGGTGGTGCTGGGCAGGGAGCTCACAGATGGGAGGGCAGAAGGAGGGTCTGTTGTCTTTGGAGCTGGAACAGATGAAGTAGCTGTAAGAAACAGATCTATTTAGCTCCAGAACCAACCCTGAGTATCAGAAATCTGTGCAGTATCTTGTGACATGTCGCACTCAGTGAAATATATACAAAGTTAACATTTCCTAGGACAATGCCCAAGCATGACGCCAGATGGTTCCATCTCTGTATAATAAGACTACCAAAAGGACAGGTGATGGTCAGACATAGAAGATTGAAAGAGAAAGCAGTGACACTTATAATCGTAAACTGTCCTATAGAAACCTGACCCTTGGCAGCAAACAGGAAGGAAAAGAGATGTTGAGATTGACAGATATATAGAATGAAGCAAATTTTCCTCCAAAGGACAGTAAAGGAAAGTAAAAAATTGACTGGCAAGACCACCAAGAGTACATATCATACACCCATTCAGGCTGACATTATCAAAATCTCAGAGCCAGTTCAGGGTAGGGGGAAAAAGACCTGACTGTAGACACTGTGAAGAGATCTATGTGCCTAAAATCTACAACAAGAATACGTGCCTGCAGTCCAACACATACTTTTCAAATGCTTAGTAAGAATTTCCTTGGTACATGCATCAACAGATTAATCTCAGAGCACATAAGCAAGCTTATCAATTACTAGGCTTCAGAAAGCATGTGGATACAATCAACCCCACCAGTGGAAAAGACTCAGTTTTTGTGCTATCCACACATACAACTCAGATATGTGCTTGGAAATACATCACTGTCTTTTCCAGTTAGGAAGGAAAACACAGCTTTACCTTCCAGCATGACTAATGTGAACCCACAGGGAATTCCGTACTCAATAGTCTAACTGGAAGGGGAAGTTCAAAACAAAAAAAGGCAGGTAGGCACACAGCCAGGTCAACTCTTTCCAGGATCTTCCCCACTGATAGTCTATTCCAAAGATGAAACCAGGTGAAGATACCACTAATGTACCTCCCCCACACTAAGACCCCAAAAGGTACTTCCCAGGGCAATGGATGACATTGCTAACAGACTCACAGTGAGCCATTCTCGCAAAGAACAAGAAATAGGGCCACAAGAGGAAACAGAGAACAAATTATGTAAAATAAAGACAGCTGGGCCCAGTGATACATGCCTATAATCCCAGCAGCTCAGGAAGCTGAGGCAGGGGGATCACAAGTTCAAAGCCAGTCTCAGAAACTTTACTGAAGCCCTGTCTCAAATTAAAGATAAAAAACGCAGAGGAGGTAGCTCAATGGCAAAGTACCCCTGAGGTTCAATCCCTAGCACCCTAAAAAAAAACACATACCTTAAATGCATACTATGTTTTGCAGATACTTCATATCTCATGATCTCATTTTAAATTATCTCCAAACCACTTAGAACCCCTATATGCCTTCATGAACCTCCAACAGGACAAAAGAAATTTGCCACTTCTGCTGCTAGAATGAGAAGTTGTTCAGTCATCCAACAAGCTCAGAGCTGCCAACATTTCTCTAAATAGCCCCGGCAACCCAACTTTACCACTAATACTAAAAACAAACCCTGGTGCATCAATTCCATTATTTCAATTTCAACTGTGTCTGCTAGAGTTCCATATTCATGCTCCCCAAAATCCTAATTAAAAAAAAAAATCATTCTGGCTTCCAGACTCAAGAGTGGATAGCCATCGTCTCACTGAAAGATCAAACAGAAACAATATAAATAATCAAAGATGAGTGAGCCAGGCACCAAGGAATGAAAAAAAACATCAGGGATTCACCCACACTACCTCCAGTGATCACTGAGCTATTGTGAGGATAGGATACCCCTCATCTTCCTCCAGAGCATCACCAGCGTACACTTTCGATCTCTTCCTAAGCAGCAGTCTTTCAGGTTCCAATAGCAACGAAACACGAATAGCAATTTTTTTTGCTTTAAAAGTCCATCACAATCCCCATTTACCAAACTGTCTCTAAGCAAAGCCCCTTTTAAATGAACATAATACACTGAACTTGGGAAGAGTCCAATCAGGACAGAATAATACCAGATTATGACCATCTTGCTGTAGCTACAACATTTCTAATAATATCCTCAACCATCATCTTGGAAGTGGGAACTAGCTGACCTTTGTTAGCTCTGCCACAGAAATAAGACTTGATTTCACTTAACCAATGAATATGGCTTTACTCTGTTCCAGTGATGAATCAGAACAGCAGTTTCCAGAAAAAAATACAACTGGTCTGTTTTTAGAGAAGTAGCCGCTGCCCAACTGTTATTTTCCCCATAACATCCACCATACTTTCCTCTAATTTTCACCAGCCATGGACAAAAGTAGATAGTTGGTTGATATACTTACTGTCTGCTGTCTGCTGATTTCGACCACCGCCATGCCCATTCTACAAGGAACAGAAGAGAAAGTAAGTCAACCCACACATCTACTCAAATGATTACCTACTTGACATTCTACTGAGACTCAGAGACAACCATATGAAGTATAGGTTAATGGAGGGGCAAACTGTCTATTTTATTCCGGTTTGTATGTTTGTTTGTTTTTAATAAAAGAAAAAATAATCCAACAAACAAATGAGTCCCAAGGAACCAATATTTTTGAAACTAGATTGAGTATTTGTGGAAGTAAAAAGGATAGAGGAAGCAATTAATCAGTCCTAAAACAATTATTAAAATATCCAACTAAGACAGGTGTGATAGCACACACCTGTAATAGTAGCAACTCAGGAAGCCCCGACAGGAGGATCACAAGTTCAAGGTTAGCCTCAGCAAATTAGCAAGGCCCCATCTCAAAACAAAAAATAAAAGGATTGGGGATGCAGCTCAGTGGTTAAGCACCCCTAGGTTCAACCTCCAGTACATTCCCCCATTCTCCCAACACACAAACTACACCATTTCAATATATACATTGAAATCTTCAGGCACTTTCCTATCTAGGGCAAGTTTTATCTCCTGGATGTCATGTGTGCAAAAAAGAAAACATGTGCAAAATAGAACAAAAGAAAACTTTATATCACTTTAAAAAAACGGGCCTCAGAGAAAAAGACATGAGACCTTAAAATAGATTTTCTGAAGGAGGAAGTACAAAGTGAGGATGATGTGAAACCCTGAATCAAAATTCAAAACCTGAAAACAACTGGTTTGAGGAAATTGTGAACATTTCAATGGAACTAAGGTGCAAATAAATGCATTTTAAAAAATATTTTTAGTTGTAGATGAACACAAAACCTTAATTATATTTATTTTTATGTGGTGCCAAGGATCGAACCCAGTGCTTCACATGTGCTAGGAAAAGATTCTACCACTGAGCCTCAATTGAAGCCCTGAAAAAGGCATTCTTAGAAATGATGCCTGCCTCTACAGAGCAAGCCAGGGAACCATGGCATGGCACAATCAATCAATAACAGATACCACAAGGCTTAGCCATTGTCCCCAGATAAGGGGAGGAACTTGAAAAAAGCTACAAGGCACATTCCTTTTTGCAAATCTCAAAACTACTAAAGAAAAAGATTTTATGTCTGTGGCCTATGTAGTAACCCAAATCTAATACAAATCATGACGACTGTACTTATTAACAATATTCTCTATTATCCAAATAACCTGAAATTATTAAAAGAAATGCAGACAGTAGGGGGGAAAGAGGGGAGAGAAAGGTATACAGTAATAACAGAATGACTAGGGGGAAAAAGAAACCTCATAGTTAAATAAAAGTTTGTAGTTAGGGAAAAGGTAACACAACATACCGCATCAAATATAGAAACTGTGTGGAGACTTCATTAGTCTAGTGTCCATCCTCGAAATTAGGGTTCACTCACCACTAAATATACTTGTATGATTTTCTAACAGGTGAATACTAAACAGTACAAACCATAAGATTTAAAGAAATCGTTCCAAGTCAGGTGGGATGGTGCACACCTATTGTCCCAGTGACTCAGGAGGCTGAGGCAGGAGGATGGAAACTTTGAGGAAAAGGCTGGGGTTGTAGCTCAGTTTGTAGAGCACTTGCCTTGCACATGTGAGGCACTGGGTTTGATCCTCCGCACCACACAAAAACAATATAAAGATATTGTGTCCATCCACCATAAAAAAAATAATAAAAAGAAAAAAAGTTTGATGAGAGTCTCAGCAACTTAGTGAGGCCGTAAGTAATTTGGCGAGACTCAAAATAAAAAATAAAAAGGACTGGAAGTGAAGTTTAGTGGAAGAGCACTTGCCTTGAATTTGTGTGGCCCTGGATTTAATACCCAGTATGCAAACTAAATGAATGCAATAAAATGCAAACAATCGACAAATTGATAAAGGGGGATTTTATGCAGAAGAACGGCAGAAGCAAAAGCAAAGAAGTATCAAAGGGTCCAGCAGAGAAAAAAAATCCATAGAAGAGGGCCGGGGTTGTGGCTCAGTAGTAGGGCACTTTTAGCATGTGTAAGGCACTGGATATATGTTCCCTGGCACCACATAAAAATGAAAACAAATAAAATAAACGTATTGTGTCCATCTACAACTTAATATTTTTAAAAGTTTCTTAAAAGTCTGTAGAAGAGCTAAGCACTATAAAACAGGAACTCAGGAGGCTGAGGCAGGAGGATTGCAAATTGGATACCAGCCTCAGCTGGGACCCTCTCTACAAAATGAAAAATAAAAAGGGCTGGGAATATAGCTCAGTGGTAGAGTGCCCTGGTTTCAAGTTGAAGTCCCAGTACCACACATACACAAAAAAATCTACAGGAGAGATCAGAAATCAAGTAGCTAACCCAGACACAGTGGCAAGTCTCTATAATTCCAGCAGCTCAGGAAGCTGAGACAGGAGGAATGCAAGTTCAAAGCCAGCCTCAGCAATGGCGAGGCATTAAGAAACTCAGTGAAACCCTGAAAATAGGGCTAGGAATGTGGCTTAGTGGTCAAGTGCCCCTGACTTCAATCCCCGGTACCCGAAAAAATAATTAACAACAAAAACCCTCACATTCAAACCTGACAGGCATAGAAGAAAACAGTATGGCCTGGAAGTTCCTTAACCTCTACTATCCCCAGGGAACTGTCATTATTAGACACAGCTACTGATAATCTAGATCTGACTTGAAACTTGGCCAATAAAGAAACATTTTCCCTGGAGGCACGTGATTGTTTAACTTTAAAGCTGCCTAAGTTGGGAGTGGGAGGACAATAAAACACACTAAGCAAAAAGAAAAGGAAAAAGAAACAATTAGGGGCTGGGGTTGTAGCTCAGCAGTAGAGTGCTCCCCCAGCACAGGCGAGGTCCTGGGTTCGATCATCAGCACCACATAAAAAAAAAAAGATATTGTGTCCAACTACAACTAAAAAATAAATATTAAAAAAAAGAAAGGTATCTTAAAAGAAAAAAGAAAGAAAGAAAAAGTTGGAGTACATATCATTTGTAAAGCTCTGACAAGTTTCTACAGATCTAGAAGACCATGCCAATGTTTATAGGTACATTCCCCGGGCTCTACGTATGCTCAGGAACGACTTGGGAAGGCCCCAAGCTCCCATCTATGACTTGTGCGCAAGTAGGAAGTGAAAGCTAAGGTAGAGTCTGCAACAGTTTGGCTGTGTGTTAAAAGGCATGCTCCAACAGCCTCTTCACAAAGCCCAGGTAATCCACTGATTCCAGCAAATTAAGGAAATCTCTGTATAATCACTAGCTGACAGAATAAAGAATTCACTGGCTATAAGAAAAAATAGAGGTATTATAAAATTAGTCTAAAATAAAGTCACTAAACGAGCAATTTCAACAGTAACAAAAACAAACCTGAGGAAGGGAACAATCTATTTCTACAACTGTCAAATTATATTATTTAAATATCCAATAAAAGAGTATTACAGGTTGAGGCTGGGGCTCAGCACTAGTGCACTTGCCTGGCATCTTTGAGGCACTGGGTTCAATTCTCAGCACCGCATACAAATAAATAAAATAAAGGTCTATCAACAACTGAAAAAAAACATGTTTTTTAAAGTATTACAAGTCATAAAAAGAAACAAAACGTAGTTCATAAACAAGGAAAAAACAATCAGTATAAAGCAAAGGTCCCAATGCTGAATTTACTGAACAAAGACTTTGAAAGACTATTTTGAACATTTCGAAGTATTGAAGGAAAACATTAAGTGTCTATAACATTTCAATAGAGGGAGGGGGAAGAGAAGCAAGAAGAAGAAAAATGATGACACTGGATTCTGTAGCCCTGGTTTTCTTTCTTAGTCCTCTACCTTTGGAAAAATCACTTAAATCTCTAGACTTCAATTTCCTTTTTGTATAAAATAGTGAAAAAACTACTATGACTAGAAAGTTATCATAAGGGGCAAGATGGCACATGCTACAATCGCAACTATTTGGGAGGTTAAGGCAGGAGGATTACAAGTTCCAGGTCAGCCTCAGCAATTTTAGTGAGATCCTAAGTAACTTAATAAGACCTGTCTCACAATAAAACGTAAAAAGACTGGGAATGTGGCTCAATGGTTAAGTGCCAATGGGTTCAATCCCCAATACCAGAGAAACAACAATAAAAAAGGAAAGTTAAAAGGATAACAATTTTAAAAGATTGTTTAAAAAATTGATTAAAATTGTCAACTCAATGTTTAAATTATTTTCATTGTATTAAATTACTAAAATATTTTCCAAAAGTAAAAGGAGAATATCTTCAAGCTTAATCAGAACACTTGTTCTCATTCATTCCCAATCCTAGTAATAATTAAAATATGACATGAATAGATTACAAATTTAATGAGAGCAAAAGAAATTAAAGCACTGACTGGTGACTAAGGGATTAATTTTTTTAGCTAATTGTATTACAGTTACTTTTCAAGAACTTTATAGTTTAGAAATACATTCTAGCCAGGGGGATCACGAGTTGGAAAAGAGCTTTGGCAACTTAGCAAGGCCCTAAGCAACTTAGACGACCATGTCTCTAAATAAAATACAAAATATGGCTGGGGATATGCTTCAGTGGTCAAGTGCCCCTGAGTTCAATCCACGGTACTCAAAAAACAAAAAGAAAAAAAATCAAGCAGCTTAGCAAGGAATTCAGTGAGCAGTGACATGGACAGTGAATAAGGTGTAAAGTTAGAGCTAGAACTGAAATGGTGTTCGAGATGACAGGATATTTGCACAGACAGCATATGGTCTGATTCTGATTTACGTTGTCAGAAACAGAATACATGAGCAATGTCAAAGTGAACTTTCTGCAAAGTTGTAAATACTCTATATCTTCGTGGTCCCATGTTGAATTCTACTAACTATATCTGGCTAATAAGCATTTAAAATGTTGCTATTTTTAAGATACTGATACTTTGTTTAATTGTTACATAGCCACATTAGGCCAGTAGTTGTCATATTGGAAAAGTACAGGAATAAATTTTATGTTAAAGATGACAG